TTATACATAGTCTTTAAAATATTCTCCGTACCAATTTGACCAAGAATTATAACAAAGCAAAGTAACAACTATACTTTTTCCTGTTTGAACATCTGCTTTACCATGACTGATTCTATTTATTCTTTGTTTTAATCTCTTTAAAATGCTGATGTAAATCTCTGAATTTATTCTGACTTGCAAATTTAAAAATTCTAGGTGAATAAGACCTTCCCTGTCCCAAAACATCCATGCCATCAGTTTGTCTGCACACTTACCTGTCTTAGCCTTTTTTGATGATGGAGAAAACTTTTAATGATACTCTTAAGAAGCTCTTTTAGTCAATGGTTCACAATAGAATACCCATGTTTCCTAAAAAAGCTTTCAGTTTTCCTGTGAATATCAATTGCAATAACTTGCTGTGATGCAAGAGATTGAAAAATACTCTCTGCTTTATACAATCATCCATACTGTGCCACCACTGAAGTCTCAATAACTTTTCATTCAGGGATCACAAATTGTGAAAGTTTTTTAGTGATAGTCCATTAATGAATTCACTTTCTATTAATAATGATAACATAGGCCTAAAATGTACCATTTTAAAATTACAGGGAAATGGGTAAAACTTTCAGAATGATCCTAATATATAATCTAATGGATATTCAGATAGCAATAATTTCTTAACTCTTTCTTGAAGAATGTAACAATTTTTTTATGCCAACATTCACAACAATGAACAGAGGAGTATTCAATCTTTTATCGTGATAACCAAACAAAATTATACATAACCTAAAAGTTTTAGGTTATTGCTCTGCTCTGCTTACTTACTAATATAATCTGTATTATTCACTGAATATATTCAATGCAAATACTCAACTTGAACATTGAAAAAACTAATTGAGAATTAAACCCAAATAACTTTATTTCTTTAAACTCGAATCAATCTTTTGCTAGGCCTAACATAGTTAGTAAATAGAACTCTCTGCTATAACACCATTAAACCTGAAATATTGTTAAAGGTAACATTAAAAATTGTTTTTTAATTTCTCTTTCTATTTCTCTGTGTTTAGTACTGAAACAAATATTTATACAATTAACTATAGTTTTCTCGTATGACGTTGCTGAAGTATAAAATCTTTCTTTACAACTGGAAAAATTGTTCAAGTAGGCTGAATTTCAATTTAATTTCATTTCAGATCAAAAATAGAGTAAAAAGCAGAAAAAGATTATATTTTTCACAAAGGTTTTTGTTTTAGAGGTCTCTACAAAATTTAAAATATTATATATATATATATATATTTCCAAATGAATTTGTCAGATCAAAATCATCAGCAATATCATCAAAATTATATATACCAACCTAATTTGCAGATGACAGCAACAAATGATACAGAAAATACAACAAAAACGGGATGTTGTCAAAGAAACCCAACAAAAAAAAATAAAAAATTGTTAATTATACTTCCAATAATATTAATTATAATTTCTGTTGCAAGTATAATTTATAAGCTTTGTGATTTATATTGTTGAGTTTTAAATCTTGCTGAGTGGTTCATCACTACACAAATCACTACTGCAAAAAAAAATATTAATATATAATTTCAATGGAAACTGGTTATTTTTATCTTGCTGCAACAGCTGTTATGATAAATATTAAAAAAAAGTGATACTCATATTCATGCTGTTCAATCAATACATTGTATATTGAAATTTGAATATAGGCTTAATATTTAAGTCAACAGTCAATAGCCTTTATATATATAGAATTGGTGTGAAACTGTATCTAAGTGAAATCATATCCTATAAAAATTTACACACAATCACGTATTCCATTTTACCCAGGCAGAACATTGGAAAATTTTTCTTTACAATTAAATGAGCTTTCTGAGTCTCTTAACAACTTACTTTAATGATGAAAGAAAGTAGAGAAATTGGAGATTTTTTATAAACTTTGTTCTAAAATAGAAAAAATTGATAATAAACAAAGTGAAGAAATTGGAAATTTATTGAAACATTTAAACATCTGTGAAATTGGTGAACATTAAAAGAGAGAAAAAAAAATTTGTGGTATGTGTCTTGTTGTATTGTAATTGTAGGAATTTCTGGCTCTTCCCAGTAGTAATCATTTTTTCCAATCATTTGCTAATTTGCCAAAGTACTAGTTCAAATGTAACCTGTAATCCATCTGCTGGCCCCAGAGATGCCTGTCACTTTTTTACCATTTGGTGGTCATGATGCTTGGACAGGGTGAAGGTTAAATTGTTACTTTTTATTTTGATTTGAAATCTGCATAATTTTAGCAATATTGTTGTCAACATGGGGAATGGAGGGAAGGAAGGTTATTGGCTCGTTTACAAAGAGAGTAGCAACCTCCTGAACAAGCAATCATTTAAAAAGAAAGAAGAATGAAAATTCATGAAATGACTTTGGCTTTTCCCAACCTTCTTCATGCTGTATGCAAATCAGTGGAATAAACTCAATAATGAATTTGCTGAAAGAAAAAAGCTTGAAGAATTGTAATTCAAAAGTAAAAAGTCAACAACTGCAATTCTCTTTTCGAAAATTTGAACTAGTGAAAGTTGGAAAGACAGATTAGGAATGGCTACTCAAACAAAAATCTAATTAACCAATCAAATGCATTTGTTTACATATTTTCTGAAAAGTGTTTTTGCAAAGAATTTGGATATTCTAATGGAGAATTTTAAATAATTTTGAAACGGATATGACAGAAAACGTCCCCAAATTCATGATTTAACCCTAACCCTAACCTAGCCCTTGTCTCTCCTTAACCTTTTTGATTGCTCCTAACCCTTAGATGGAACCCCCCTAACTATAAATCAAAAGCTACTTTACCCCTCCTAACCATTTTTCAATCCGAAATGTTGCTTTCAAAAATCTCATTTGGGGACGTTTTCTGTCGGCCCCAACTGGAAGTGATTTATTCAAAAATCTCATATCTTTTGAATATTTGAATATAATATTTTCAACAAATAAATGATATTCAAATGCTTGGTATGGAAAATTTACAAAAATTAAGCACTTTAATGGTGGATGATAATGTTTTATGCTGTTTATTGAAAATGTTAAATTCAAGAAAGAGGAAAAACTGTGTTTGGAATAAGAGAATCATCACTTTTTGTTCTTTTCCACTACTACCATTGATAACAATAGTTTTCCTATAAATTCTAATAATTTATAAATTTTTATCAATAATTTTAATTCTAACATTTATAAATTATTTAAAAATAATTAAATTTGAATTAATTAAACATTGCGTAATGTTCCTACAAGATTTTATACTATTATATAGTATAAGTAAACTTTTGCAAGAGTTTTTAATGCTTTGGATTAAATAACTTAATTCTTATATCATTTTTATATTTTGACCAAGGTCAAGGACAGAAATTTCTAAAGATTTCAAATAATTTTCCAATTGTTCAGCATGAGTACTATCCAAATTACAATTCTGAAAAGAAATGGATTTTAATGTCTTTAAAGATTTTTCAACCCAGTTATTAAATAATTGAATCCGATATTTAAATTTGGATTATTATTCATTTCAAGGACAACCAGATTTGAATAGACTGCCAATAAACTTTGAATATAACTACATTTTATATTTTCCAAATTGCAATTGTTAAATGATAAAAATTTCAGAGAAGACAAGAAATATCATCAAATGTTTCATGATTCAAATGAAAATTATTTGATAAACCAACAGTTGTTAAATCTGGATTTGTTTGTAAAATTTCTAAAATAATTTTATTATCATTCATTGTTTGTAATTTTTAAGATAAATTTATAATTTTATCATCTACCACAATTCCTTGTTTAAATTTGAATATTTTAAATTTGAAAAGTGATGGTATAATTATATTTTCAGTATGAGCAACAAAAACTTTTGGTCATGTCACCTTTTTTTCATTGACAAGAAATTATATCATAAATTTTTAAAGAAGAATATAGAAATTCAAGTAGGGTTAAGAGATTATCCAATAATCATCATATGTAAGATAATTGGTATAATTTTGTTTATTACCAAAAAACGCTATTATAAACCTATTATCTTTTTCAATTGTTTTTTTTAATCAATAAACATTAAATTATTAGTAATTTTGTTCTAAATTATCACAATTCCATAAAGAATATCAATATTTTCTAAAGTCAGTTTCTCTTTTAAATCTGACTTGTTGAAGAGAGAACAATGTTCAACCTCAAAAAATTGATAATAATTCTATTTTATTTCAACTTTATTTCCTTCTCAACAGAAAATTCTGGTTTTGTATTTTAATATGTTATTTTCATATTTAAAACATTTATTTTTTCTTACTATTTAAACAAACAGAAAGAGAAAATTATTATAAAATGTATTTGGATAGAGTTGTAGCAGAAAATTTTCATTTTCAATATCCAAAATGGAATTCTGATTTTAGGAAAGTGTCAATTGATTACTGTTTATATGTTTGTAGCCTATACAGCAGTTGCAGGTATTACTAAAATTACTAACATGACAAAAATTTTCTACTATTGATTATTTCCAGAGCTATAGATTACCATATTCCAGAAAAGATGTGTCATTTAAAAGCTAAATTCTTGACTAGCAAATATAAAGAAAAATATTTTTTGTATGTAAAAGCATCAAATAAAACTTGTTATTACTAAAGCAACACTATTTGTTTTGGAAATTTGTAAAATGTTTAGGCCTAGATTAAGAAAATATGAACTATTTGATAATAAAAGAAAGAATACATAGACTATAGATAACTTTGTATCTATCTTCAGTTCATCAATCAAAGATATGTAATTTCCTTTTTGAAGCTTTGTCTTTCTTCTTTGATAGAAGTAGCTTGAACAGTTGTATATTAAGGTAAATCATCCAATATTCCGTGTATGGGGAAACAGATGATCAATACACAACCATCGTATCTTTTTCTAACTGTAATTTCGTATTTTAGACAATTGAATAGGGATGCGACAGAAAACGTCCACAAATGAGTGCTTTTACCCTAACCGTAACCCAGCCCTTAGCTGTACCTAACCTTTTCCATTAGCCCTACCCTTAGAGGAGACCCTCCTAAGTATAAATCACTTGCTGTTTTCTTCTGCCTAACCTAATAATTTTAAACCAATTTTTAATTCAAATCTAATTGTTGAATAGTTCATGATTCATTGTGAAATTTCTTTTGTAAAATTTTCTTCCATAGGCCTGATTAAAGTTATTTTAGACTTTTATTGAATTATTGACACAATCTATTTTAAATAAAGCAGTCACATTGAAGAAGATAATTATTAATATCATATCATTGATTGATTTTACCCTATCTGTCTTTTTCTCTTTCCTTTATATCACGTGATCTCTATATCATAGATCATCTTACCAAACCCTTTTCATAAGAAAGCTTGTTTTTGCCACTATTTTTAGTTGTGTTAATTAATATTTAAGTTGAAAAATTTAATTAAAAGTTTAATGTCAGTGGTAATATTTTTTTTAGAGAGATGGGTCTATTTGAATGATGAGAAAAGCGAGATTATGTATTCAACTATGATATCAAATTGTTATATTGTTTGTTTATTTGAGAAAATATCAATTTAAAGATTGCAGGAATTATTTAGGCCTAAATCTCTTCATGATTGGTTAGACAAAAAATCAGGGTTATCATTCTCTTATCTAATACAGTAGCATAGTAATAATATTATTGTTTTAAAATACATGTAAATAGGTCAAAGTTTTCCATAATTGGTAAGAAGTAATTACAATATCATCATTAGATTTTTTACAAAAAAATAATTGATAATTTCTTAATTTCCAATCTTTATCTTGAATTTCTATTTTTTTACAAGTTGTATTTACAGTAGTTGTTGATCCATAAATTGTAATTTCTTCATTTTCATTAGCAACTTTCAAAAGAAAATGTAAGTATTGTTCATTATTAACTGGTAGTGAAGAATTTGGAAATGCCCATTCATCATTTCTTTGAAGGCATTTAGGTGAATCTGTAAGCAATAAAAGATAGATAAGACAAATAAACAAAACAATATTTTTCTGCCAACATTTCTGAGTTAAACCAGAAAGTGCAATAAGATCAACTTCTGCTAATCCTTGGTTATTTTTGGATAGAATTTCTATGTCCTTTGTCAACAGAAATGGGGTTTTTACACAAATTGTATGGGAATGTTTAAAATTTCCATTTGTTTCTCTTTCAATTATTTCATTATTTAAAAAATTTCTAATTTTTATTTCAATTCCTGGTGTGAAACTTGAAGCATGAAAAACTATTTGTGAAGAATAGAATTTAAATTTTAAAATATTTCAAAATATAACTAAAAATAAAAAAAGACCTGTTAAGCAAATCTGATTGAGATGAGTTAGTTTTGTAGTTAGGAGCAGATTATCATTGGTCACCAAATCTATTTTCCCAGTATTATCATTAATATAGTAGATGTTATCTTGTAAAAGTGTCAATTGATTACTTGATAAAGCAACACTATTTAATTTTGCATCAATGATAGATGGTTTAGAAACATGTCCAAATTCTTTTAAAAGAAACAAATAAACAAATTTCAAAAATGTTACTTTCTTTGCTATCAGACAAACCTTTTGGGTGGTTTTCATCAATATTTGAAATATATATATACATTTCCATAAATTCTAAAAATCTATTTTCTTTGGTGCCAACATTCTGATTGATAATTATATATCTTCCAGTTAGAATAGGATTACATTCAATGTTGAATAATTCATAAGTTGTTCTAAAGTGGCCAGAAAGATTTTCAACACAAAATCTACTATTAAAATTCAAATCTGTTGCAGGTATTCCTTTAATTGAAATGTAAGTTTTTTCAAATCTTTTATGATAATCTAAAAATAACGAAGAAGAAATGATAAAACTAGAACACAAGTGTCAAATTTCAAAAAACCAACAAACCATCATTGTATAATGAAACAATAATAATTCTATGTACATTCAATGTTTGAACAGCATCAATTAAAAAGTATGGTGTTGAAAAATAACTTCTTGAATGAAAAAGTGTTTTGTAACTATTATCATATCCTTTCTCTTTAGACCAACTTTTGTGCTGTCCACCAGTCATTGTAATCAATTTGTTCAAATTTAATAATTCAAAACCTTTTTGTTTATTTTTTTTTTTTTTAAATATTCAATTGAAAATATTTAAAAAAATATGTTACCTCTTTTATCATCAATCAACATTCCTTTAACATCTACATCACATAATATTAACTTTATATTAATTGTGGTTAATTTTATTGTCACAAATGAACCAATTGCCTTAGTGACACATGTGTAACAATTGTATTGAGAAACAAGATTTGAATTTGGTCTTTGTACTGTTTCGTCCACATATCTGCATACAATCTTTTCATCATTTGGATAGTTGCCAACAAAAATATTGAATTCTTTTAAATTATTATCTAAAGTTAATTTTTAAGAATTTTTGAATTTAAAAAACTTTGGATTTTTATTCAAATTGGTTTTTTTTTACTAACAGACATTATCATTGACATTCAAAAGGCATACTTTAGTGATATCGTATTCTTGTTCAAGATCAACCGACCACCAAGAGAAATCTGCAATATCACTGTCAGTACTTGAACAGTGCTCATGCTGTCAATCAAATATTGATAAAAATAATTCATAATATTTGATTTGAATACTTGCATTTGTAAGAGAAATATCAACATTATCATCATTAGCATACTGAGGTGCACTATGAGTATTTATACTTCCACTAGTAGAACTTTGAAAAGATAACTTTCCTCTTGCTAAATTCAACAAACTTACTTGAATAATTATCTCTAAAAAAATTAAAACAAAAAGATTATTTAGAATGAAAAATATTTTTTATTATTTTTTTAAATACACACCAAACCAAATGAAAATAATGAATAAGGTTTGAATGAGAATTTTTCTCATTTTCTTTATCATTTTGTCTTGTTTTTCACATTTTGACATTTCCAAACTAATTAATTAATCGTTTCGTTAAAGAAATAAATCATTAGATCAATTTTAAATGAAAAGAGACAATAGAAATAGTTGATTTATGGGTTGCAATGTCAAAAAAATTTTAAACATTCCCATACAATTTGTGTAAAAACCCCATTTCTGCTTATCTAATTCTGGAAAAGAGGCCAATCAATAAAGAACATAAATGATAAATGTAGAAAAGACTCATTTTGGGGATATTTTGAGTTTAAAGTAGGGTTGGAATCAGATATAAAACAATTAACTTGTAATAAGGTATGTGTCTAAACTAAGTGTTAGGAATAATCAAGAAAAAGCCCAGGATTGTGGGCGTTTCCAACAGCACCCAAATATTTGTTGAAACAATAATCTTTTCAATAAACCTCTTCGAAAATATCGAATTATTTGCAATTTGCAGCCTAGGCTTGGTATCTGAAAAATATTTTTTAGTATATTTATGTATAGGGCTCACATTCCTTTTGAATTTGGGAGCAATAGAAAACAGCCCCAAGTAGGACATTTAAAGGCAGTATTTTGGGTTGAGAAATGGTTAGGAGGAAAAAAGCATTTATTGATTTGTAGTTAAGGGGAGGGGGGGCTCCCATATAAGGGTTAGGGGTAATCAAAAAGGTTAGGGATACATAAGGGATGGTTTAGGTTTAGGCTTTGGGTAAAACCAAGCTTTTGGGGCCATTTTCTGTAGCATCCTTTGAATTCATATAAGCAACAGTTAAACTTTTGCGTAGTTAATGGTTTAATCCATGATAAAGCAATATTCTAGTTTAAAATATCAATTAAACATATGATTTGTTTGAGAGAGAGCTGCAAAAAAGCATATGTCCATTGCTTTTATCCATTTTTAATCACTTCCATTTTCCCTGCCACAAAGTAGGCCTAAAATTTTGTATAAAAACCTAAAGTCAATAACACTGTAAACTGCACAAGTCAAAAGAAAACTGGTATCAATTGAATTTTTGTATATAAATATTTCATTTCTTATCCTTTTCTTTTTCTTTTTACACAATTATATAATAAAAAAAACTATTAGTTATGAATAAAACTAAATCCATTTCAAGCATCATACATTTAGGCTCCTTAAAATGCTTTTTTCATGTTAATTGCGGGCTATACTACTTTGTTTTTCAATTTTAGAAGTATTAAGTATTCCATACCTAAAAAGGTATAAAAATTTTAAAATTTAAGATTTTATGTGTTTTTCCCATGATGTTTAACAAAGAATAGAATGTTGAAAAAAAACTTAAGACTTAGTCTCAATATATTGATCTGCTTTCAATGACTTTTAACAATTGTATTAATTTTTAAGTGAAAAAATTTTTGTTTTTGTAACATCGTTAAATAATTCAAAGGGATATAACAAATATTCTCTGCCTAAAATCAATCAACTCTACCATTTAAAGATTCTTTTGCTGATAGAACAGAAGTGATATGTTTCTTCTGCTGTTTCTTTTCTCATCTCTTTTCATGTATGGCTCATCTTTTCTTGCAGGTTGATATAATGATTAATTGTTGCTTTTTGTAAAAAATTTTTATGTTCCAGATGGGAAATTAGTAAATGTTTGCAGGCAAAAGTTTGGAGCCACTTGCCAAGCTTCATCATCTCATGCAGATCTGCGTGATTATACATTCATTTGTACAAATGCACTTGAACCACATTGGATTAACTACCGTGATTGGGCATCTCAATGTGTTTCAAATTGTAACAATCAAAATATACGAATTACCTTTGCATCTATATCAGATATTGCAGAAATTTGTATTGATCAAAGATTACATAGCCCCCCACATCTAGTTAAAGAAGTTAAGCTGGATTTCAGCAATGGTGCCAGCTTTACAGTCCAACTTGATCAAGTCAATTTTCAAAAATGTTTTTTGCTACCTAACGCAACTGGTGAAAACTCTCAATGGATTACAGCAACCACTCAGAAAGATTTTGGTAGTGGGCAGTTAGGATTGGGAAGTATCATGGCATACGTGTATAAAGGTAATTGAGATCATTTTGTAAACCCTCCAATAGCTTAATACAAATGCAGATTTAGAAGGTGAAGAAGAGAAGCATTTAACAAACATAGCTGGTATAAATAAAGGGTCAACATGCACAGCTTCTCACAGTCCCAGTACTTGTACTAAAGCCCTTGATTATGATTTTGCACCAAATCTTAAAGCAGACTGGATTACATCTTGTGTTATTGTACAATGTACCAATATTATATACAAGTTGTTCTTAAAAGATGGAATTGCACCAAAAATGTTATGTATTGCTCCAAGGTAAACAGAAAGATTTAATAGAAATAGTTAGAGTTATATATTAGTATATTTATTAATATATAAATATCTGTTTAAATTGAATTTTTATAGAGAATATGGAGAAAACACTATACTGAAAACTGTTAAAATTGAATGGAGTTCTGGTCTAATTCAAATGCTTATTTTTCCAAATTCAAGATTACGACAATGTTTTGATTATGAAGGATATTCCATTGAATCATCTATAAATGCCACAATTATTGATACATATTCTCAAGCCCCTTATAACTTAGGTTTTGCTTATTTTCAACTTTACACAATTGGTTTGTATAAATTAATTCTTTATTATTGAAATATTTACTTATTTAGGTCCAAAGCTAACCACTACTCATACTTGTCTCACCTTCCCTTAGCATAGCTTTAACTAATCAGACCTTAACCCTAAATTTTTCTAAAAGTCAGTCCTTCCATGACAGCTAGTCTGTATTTTCTACTTTTTTCCAGAAACACCTCTAAAGAATTTTGATATAATTGGAAACTTAACATTGTTTTATTACATTCCATCTTACCTCTACAAAACATTTTATGGCTTTACCTTTGGGATAAATGCTCAAAATAGTCTTGAAAATTCAATTAGTATAAGTTATTGGAATAAAGATAAAGAACTTTTCACAATTCATATTGATCATAAGAATGGAAATGACAGAGACACAATTCTTGAAATAGATGATTCAACTGCTCATAAGATTACCACCAAAATTGCTGATGATCATCTTTTAGCACATAATGTTTGGCGAGAGTTTTGGATTACAATTAAAAGCAATCGATTAGAATTTGGTAGAGGGATAGTGTATGGAAAAAATCGTCTCTTATCTTCCTTTTATCTTTCAAATCCTCTTTGTATAACTAGAGTAGGAATAAAGAATAAAGAGACCACAGGAAAAGTATTATTTGGCGTCTATGACTTGCTAGGACAAATGTTCAAATTTCCAGCCTCGATTCAATGTTTATCTCTTAATCTAGTCAATCTCTACGATTCAAAACCAACAACATGTATAAACTTGAGAGAAGATTTCCATACAATCGAGAAAGTTTTCATGAATGGCATCTTTAAGAGAAAATATGATAAGGAGGCTCATGCTGTTTTAAGATATCAAAATGAAGATGAAAAATTTATCAAAGTATATTATATAATTACAGAAAAAGATTTAAAAGTTTCTAAAGTTTGTCCTTTGAAAACTATTGGGAAGTCATTGAACAACATCAATAAATATTGGTTTGATTGTAATGAAAAACTGGAAACTATCCACAAGATAACAATAAAGATAATATTATCTGAAAAAGTTGATTCTCTTGAAATATGCAAAATATATCCCTAAATTGACAAAGGGATCAACACGCAATATGTCCATTAACTGACAGAAAATGTACATAAACTGGCATAGACATCCATCAATTTGACTGAAAATGATTTTGAAATTGAGAGCATAACTACTATTAGAGATTTAAGTTTCTTTACAACATTCATAAATAAATCAAGGCTAAGTTTAAGAGAATAAAAAATAAACAAAGTTAAAGAAACACAATACTTTTTGATTCTTTTCTCTGCTTAGAAAAATAACCTCCATCTGTTTCATAGGTAGAAAAATCAACTAAGTCTTAAGGTTCATTTTCTATTTGAAAAGCTGAATATGTATTTATCCATGAACAGTAAAGTTTGGGCAAAGGTTAGGGTATTACTAATGTCAGGGAAATCTTAAGTTTATTACATTCATAGTATGTTAGGCCTAGGATAAAAAAAAACTGTGGATGTTTTCCTCTAATTGTTGCTTAATCTAAAATAAAATATATTTAAAAATATTTTACCTCCTCTGCAGCAATTGAAAAAGAATAGTTAAGGTCTTGAATGTAAATTTGGGCAATTATCATCATCAAAATTCAGTAAAAATCAGTTTTCTTTTATATTCTTTTATACTTTGATTATTTTTAAAAATCATGTTGTTTTTTTACAAAACTAACCATTTTTATTTCTCATAGTTCTAAATGGACAATTAATTTTAATAATTGATTGAACAAAAATTTCTTTCATAATCTGAAAACACCGATTCTAAATCTTTAATATCTTATAATTTGACTGGTAGAGGGCAGCACTAGAAAACAAGGGGATTTGTTAGCAATTACTTGAAATTACATTGACATCTGAATTATTGCCAAACTGGTCACACCATCACAACTGTATAGCTAAATTAAATGAATGCTAACTGGTGTTTGACTATTATCCATTATAATCAAATCTGTCAAGACCTATATAATGACACTGAAGGAATAGAGAGAGAGAAATTTTTATACTCAGAATCTGACTCGGCTGTTGTTATATAAAACAAAAAAAAATATTTAAATATAAATGTCGATTTCTTGTAATGTTTCCAAGGTCTATAGAGTTCACATTAACATCTATAAAATCTATATAAATCATTGATATATTGATTTGGTATTGAGTAGCAATAGAATGAAGTATTTGCTCATTTTTTGGCATTTTTGAACATGTTTGGATGTTTTCAATTGTAAAATTATGAAGATGGTACAAAAGAGTAGATTTACTTTTTTTTCTTCTTTTTCCCCTTCTTCTTCCTTCCAAGTAAGACTTGATTATTCATCTATAAATTTGTTTACATGTTAATTTAGAAGTTACTTCAATTATTTATTAATTTATTAATGTTTGACCAATAAAGACTTATTGAGTATATTTGTCGATATTTATACATTGGAGATATAAGAAGAAAAGAAGACTATTAGCAACTAATACAAGGCAAAGTTAAGGTTACACTTTGAGAAGCTAAAAGAAAAAAAGAAAATGATAAATAGTTATATGTTATTTTTATTCATCTTTATCCAATTACTTTATTATTCTGAAGGAAAAGTTTGTAGCCATCCTTCTAATGAAAGAATTGAATGCGGTTGGGATGGTATTAATTCAACTGACTGTGAAAGTATCAATTGCTGTTATAATAGTCTCACTAACATAAAGTGTTTCTTACCTGGAGGTTTGATTTGAAAA